GAGTACGTTTTTTCATGTCGTTTCGTCTCGTCTCGTGGCGTGGCGTCTTGCCCGTGCACTTTCCCTCGCCACGCTACGCGTCTCTTCTTCCTCCTACCCTACTTCACCCGAAGCCAACCAACCTGATCAGCTAACCGTTTTCCGTTTGCCTTTTGCGTTTTGCGTTTGCGTTTGCGTGGGGGCTTAGTACAACTCCAGATCCAGGAAATCGCGTTGATTAGGCAGGGATTGTACGAGTTGGAGTCGCAGCATGCAAAGATTCGGAACGAGTGAGTGGGCGCGGCCACAGCCTTTGTCTTTTGTGGCTTTTTTTCCTGTTTTCTTCGGTGGCTCGTGGGTCTTGTTGTCGTTCTGTGTGCGTCCGTCGCTGGTGGTGTGAACGCGGTGGAGAGGAGAGGATCGAGCGGGCTAGTTGGTTGGTTGGTTCGTTGGCAGGCTCGTGAATGAGCCGACCGGCGCAGCATGACGCAAGAGGTCGCCGACGCTGGATCGAGGCAAGAAGCGGCACTTTTGTGACGTCTCCTATCCCGCCGAAAGTCGCTATCAACGTCAGCAGACAGGACGTTGAAGGGTGGTCTGCTCGGGATGCTCTAGCTGGATAGGATGGTCGGACAGGAGGACAAGGGTAGTATCCTTTCCCGAGAGGCGTACGCAAAACCCTTGGGATGCGGCCGCACGAGAATACGTTTGTCTGGTTTTCGGAAGGAAGCGTAAACTGTTCAACGGCATCAGGTGTTTTGTTCTATTCTGCGGCGATTATTCCCTTGCACGCCCATGGCTAAACGTATCTGCTCACCACACTGTCCCATTAGGTACGAAAGCGAATGTCTCCGCCTCCGACGAGAAATCGACATGGGCATCTCACGAACACCGGGCCACCCCTCGCACCAGTCCGCTCAGAACGGCCCCTCCTTGGCGCTCACAAACAACAACTCCCAGTCCCTGCCTCCGCCAAACATGGGACCCGCTCCTTCTCTCCCCGGCCCATCGGCGCCGGTGGTCGGAGGCGGGATTGTGGGTGGCGGGATTGGAAGTATTCCTAGTTCCATGCCTGCGCCTCCGGGTGCGCCTATGCAGCAGGTTCTTCCGCCGCCGCCTATGCAGCAGCAAGGGATGGAGAGGGATGTTCGAGAACGTGATAGAGAGAGGGAACGGGATCGGGAAAGAGAGATGGAGAGGGAGATGGAGAGAAGGGAGAGGGACGGTCCGGCTGGTGAACGGGAACGAGAACGAGAACGAGAACGAGAACGCGAACGCGAGAGGGAGAGAGAACGTGAACGGGAAAGAGACAGGGACAGGGATTCGTATAGGGGTTACGCAAAGATGGAAGTGGACGATAAACCAGTCTTGAAGAACGGCGGTGAGTTTTTAGCTGCTGCACGCGCGGACCGTCCTCGTTCGTTTACTGATAATTCCTCGATGATTGGCCGGGCGGTGGCTAGGCTATTCGCAGCGGCATGCAGTGACCCCGAACCCCGATCGGGAACGTACCGTACCACTTTCCGCCGGCCCAGCAACGATAAACGCCAGTACGTCGGGTCCCGCTTCCACCAATCCCAACGCCGGGCCAATGGTCAAGAGTTCCCCGCCGACGGTCTTGTCCGACTTGGATCCCGATACGATCCCGAGGGAATTTAAAAAGGAAGGAGCGGAATGGTTTGCCGTGTGGAATCCGAGGAATAAAAAGACGTTGGATGTTAATCTGGTTCATACGCTCGTTCACGAAAGGTGCGTTGCGCCGTTATTTTCCCCCCTTTTTTTGCACCTGGGCGGAAGGCTGGCGCTGATATAATGACGTTCTGGCTGCGGTGTGTAGCGTTGTCTGCTGTGTGCGGTTCTCGAATGATGGACAGTATTTGGCGACCGGGTGTAATCGTACGGCCCAGATCTACGATACGAAGACGGGCGTGAAGAAACAGTAAGTCGATAATCCATCGCCAGATCTCTCAAGACGGACCGACTGACACTCCGCCTTTCGACGACAGTGTGCTTGTTGATGATGCAGCATCTCAAGCGGGCGATCTGTATATCCGCAGTATATGCTTCAGCCCGGATGGCAAGTTCCTCGCAACGGGCGCGGAAGATCGACAGATTAGGGTACGTATTGCGCAAATATCTTGCCCGCGGCTTGCTCACGCCCCATTCCTCGTGCAGATTTGGGACATTGCAAAGGGTCGCATCAAGCATCTCTTGGTTGGCCACAACCAAGAAATATACTCGCTTGATTTCTCGCAGGACGGGCAATTCCTCGTTTCCGGTTCCGGCGACAAGAGTGCTCGGATCTGGGATATCTCGACGGGACATTGTGTGTATGATTTGCATATCGAGGATCCAGTGTTGGGTGAGAATGGGTTGCCGATCGATGCCGGGATTACTTCTGTTGCTCGTAAGTCTCTTGGGTCGCCGTTCCTGCTGCGTAGGCGTACTAAAACTCTCGGGGGTCTGCAGTATCACCCGATTCAAAACTCGTGGCGGCGGGAAGCCTCGACACCATTGTCCGGGTATGGGACACCCGTACGGGCCAACAACTCGAACGACTCCGCGGACACAAAGACTCGGTTTACAGTGTCGCCTTTTCGCCCGATGGAAATTCCCTCGTTTCCGGATCGCTTGACAAGAGTCTACGCGTGTGGGATCTGAGACAGACGAATATGGCGGTGGATAGGACGACACAGCAGAATCAGTTGGCGCAAACGGGGTTGGGTGTGTTGCAGCAGACGCTCGTCGGTCACAAGGTACGCCCAAGCGGTGATCTGGCTCGTCCTCTAGATATCATCACTGACGACTCGCATTGTAGGACTACGTCCTGTCTGTCGGTATCACCCCGGATGGAAAATGGATCGTTTCTGGATCAAAAGATCGAAGTATACAGTTCTGGCAAGCAGACGGGCAGGCCCAGTTCCTGCTTCAGGGACACAAGAATTCAGGTACGTCCCCCTTTTCGGTCCACCTGTCGTTCCTACCCACACTCATGTCACTCTCTTGTTTGCGCCGCTAGTCATCTCCATTGATCTCGCACATGCTGGGAACCTGTTTGCTAGTGGAAGTGGAGACTGCCACGCGAGGATCTGGCAGTATTCGAGCGTGCCATAGCGGTGGTTGTAGGAGGAAGAAACGGCAGAGGCAGAGGCAGGGGCAATCAATTAGAGTTTGAGTTTACACAAAATGTCAGTTGTACAATACATGATGTATCGGATGTTTATGTTGCAATACATGATCAGTATCATGCGCTCTTGTGCGACGTCTGCTTGCATGATCTCTTCTAGCTGGTTGTAGTGCGAAACTTTAAACATCGGCCTTCTTTACAGACCGCAGATTCTCACCGACAGTCTCCTGGTCTTACAGCTCTTCTTGTCGCTGTTTACAGGGTGCGTAACAAGTAGTCAAGTGTCAATTCATGTGACTATTCATTTCGTTTGTGTGTACAACTGTTGGCGCCTCAAGGCTCATGTGTCAAGTAGTTTCTGAATGCGCAGTGGCGCTTAGTATGCGGAACCACCGTTGACGTGACTATTCGCAACACACACGTCGTCAATTTCATACTGTACCGCAAGTGCAGCGCGGGTACTTACATGCACTGAGCAGTCACATAGGTGGAGTCGTAGCTCGCCAAGAAGACGACACAGGTTGCGCATTCCACCGGTTGACCAGGTCGGCCGATAGCAGCTGTTTGAGAGAGAGGTAAGCGGGTGGGCGGGTACGGAGAGGGGTGACGAGGACCGAGGACGTACTGGAGACACCGAACGATTCGAGGGATTCTTTACCCATGGTGGCGAGGACCTTTTGATGCGTTAGAGTCAGTCGCGCGGTGCGGATACTGCATGAAGAGGTGGGCGCTTACCAATGGAGTGAGAATTGGACCGGGGCAGATGGCGTTGACACGGATACCCTTTGTCTTGACGACCTGGTTTGAAAGGGCTCGAGAGAAAGCAACGATAGCACCTTTTGTTGCCGTGTAGTCTACCAGTTTCGGGTGGCCGACGAATGGGTTGATACTGGCATTGTTGATGATGCTTGATCCCCATGGCATCATCGGAAGCAGCGCCTTGGTGAGGTAGAAGATGGCGTGGATGTTGGTCTTGAATACGTATTCCCACTGCTCATCTGGCAGATCCACCAGGGACTCGACCTCGTTTTGCGTGCCGGCGTTGTTGAACAGGATGTCAACTTTGCCATTGAAGACTTCCTTGGCTTTGGCGGCGAGCGCGTGGCATTCTTCCTTTATGCTCAAGTCGGCGATGACGGTTTCAGACTTTGTCGAGGGGCTCTTTTCCTTGATGTAGGCTGTGAGGTTGTCCATGTCTTTTTGCTCTTCCTTGACGTAGTGGAGGAGCAGGGATGCGCCTTCGTATGCGCTGCAAGCAAAACGCGTGAGCATTGGACCCATACAGGGGCCCGAAAGAGCAACCTACAAAAGAATAGCAGTGGCCCGACCAATACCACTGTCTGCACCGGTAATCAACGCATTCTTTCCTACAAGCTTGCCAGCCGCCTTGTACTTTTCGCCATTGACAAGAATGTCATCCAGTGGCTGGTCCACCATGTCGTGCTGCAGCCCAGGAATGTTCTCCTGCATTTGGCCGGCCATCTTCTTGTCGGTGGATCCTATCCAACCAGGCTTATATTGTTCGGGAGTGTTCGAAGGGATAGGTACTTGAGCCATTTTGAGAAGTTGTGTGTTGGGTAGAGGGAACAAGTGAGGAGTGACATGCTCGGGCGGCGAGTTGATGCGTTTGAACTGGTAGGTATATATATCCAGGGAATGCAGGGCGGCTGCAGCGGTGATGACGAGAACTTTCCGTTCCACGTTTGGAATCTGGTACAAAGGGGTAGCCGTCCAACGATTCATTCATTCCAACAATCCCAACCGTCGCGTTCGTCCGTTCCAACAACTAGCTGGTTGACGTCATTCGCTCGTCTAGGGACGCTGCGCTGAAAGGCTGTTGAAGCTGACAGCAGTATAACGATCTATATGGAAAGCAGGAAAGCTTACATCATCAGGGACTATAGTTTAATGGTAGAATAGCTGCCTTCCAAGCAGCTGGCATGAGTTCGATTCTCGTTGGTCTCAAAGCCCTTACTTTTTGGATCTTTTTGGATCCTGGAAGGCCTTGGGAGCTCTGAGACGGTCTTTTTTGCCTGGCAGAAAACCCTTTCCAGAGTGCTGTGCCATGATCCTCTCTTTTTGTCATGGCGATGGTATCAGGATTACACCGATAGGTTGCCAATGACATGCAAGTGATCATGGCCGGGTGTACTGTTCAATGTGTGCATTGTAGAAGAGCCGTGGCCAAAGTGGTGGTAAATGGTTCCCGGAGACACTCCCGTATGGTCGGTCTCGAATCGCGAGAATCATCTCATCATGCCACTCTATAGGCAGCGCCCTCTCACAGGCACTACCGCGAGTTGGAGACTATCGAACACAGCACCGGTGATCAAGTTGAACGTTGCAACTTGGAAATACGGCCGCAACGAGTACTTGTCCTGAAAATATCAACTCGGTCGCAGCTACTCTTTTGCGCCATGATCCTCGCCTTTTGCGACGACGATGATGTTGAGATTACATAAGTAGGTTTACATTGACATGCAAGTCATCAATGTCTCGTATGCTGTTCAATCTGATGGGTATAGAAAAGTTGCGGCAGAAGCGGTGATGGTATCTTGAATCTCAGTAATCGGGCCAAAGTTCACGACAATCATCCAATGATTCCACTGTACAGCCAGCGCCCCAGAAATGAGTTTGTCGAAAGTAGACAGCTCTCATCATTACCACTGCGTGTAGGAAGCTCTAGAACGAAAGGGCGGCGAACAAGGTTCAAGCACGGGACTACTATTGTAAACGTTAACTCGGTCGCAGCTCAACGATGGTGAACAGCTTGGTGAACCCGCCGACCGCTGAACGCTCGTGCGGAACCAAACCCTGAGCCTCCACCTCCACGGATGAAACGACCCTCCCTGTCGCAGCTCCTGTTGCCTGTTGACGTGATCATCGATTCATCATCACCCACTTCACATATTCCGTTCGACCCTATCAACAGCGGAAGGCTTTGCCGACATACACCATCATGGCATCACCACAGGCCGATAGAGAGGCAGCTGTCGATCAGCTATGCGCGATTACGGCAACGGATACGACGATGGGACGGAGGAGCATCGAGCAGGTCTTGCGGTCGACCGATTGGAATGTCGAGGTGAGCATCGGACATGACTAGCACGATACACTCGTACTGACTTGCATCACAGCAAGCTGCAAACCTCATCTTTAGCAATCCGGATACACTTCGCCAGCAACAACACACGGAACCTGTGTCGGATACGCAAAGGGATCGGAATCCAGCCATGAATGGACGTCCTCGCCCGAAAGATCGTCAGCGGGACACTACAACGGCAGCAGGCAGACCACCAGTCGGTGCACGGGTCGGGTTATCACCGTTGCGTGCTTTGACATGGCCGATACGTTTCGTACTGCGGTTGATCTCAGGGCTTTGGTATTTGCTCGGTAAGCCATCTCGTCAGCTTTTCCTTCCATTGCAATTCAACGGCTAAACAGACCGTCTTGACCGCGCACAGTGCGCAATGTCCTCCCACTTGGTTTCTTGCCGTACATGCCACGGTTCCTGCTCCCTCCCTCTGGATCGTCATCCGGGTACTCTTCATCAATCCCACTATCATCGCGATTACCCTTTGTCGAGACGCTGAGGCAGGAATGCCCGGATGGGTATATGCCTGATTTTTGGCGGCAAGGAGGCGAAGAGGATGAGAATGAGCAAGGAGGGAGGGTGGATGGGACGTACAAGGAGTTTTTGAATCATTTGAAAGAAGAGAGAAAGGTTGGGTGTGTGGTCCTTTGTTGTTCCGACCACGAGGATGATATGGAGTTCAAGAGGTGAGACTAGAACCTGCTTGATGCCATACGTCGTGCTGACCTGATTTGGGTGTTATTGTCAGAAACGTTCTCACCAATGAGGAATTTGTGAAATGCCTGCGGGAGAACGATATTCTGATCTGGGGTGCTGATATTCGAGAAAGGGAAGGATATCAAGGTCAGCTCTCACCGGAACTCGTGCGACTCAACGGCTGCTGACACTCCAGACTTCCAGTCTCGCAAACACTGCAAGCGACGACTTACCCGGCAATCTCATTCTTTTCCCTCATGCCGGTCAATTCGTCTTCCGGCTCATCCTCGAATTCAAAGTTCACCATCCTCACGACCGTCCAAGGACCTCCGTCAACGACAACCTCAGCTCCCGCTCTCATCCAGCTTATCACCAACACCATCGTCCCACGTACTCGACCGTTCTTGAACAGGCTTCGGCGGGAGAGACACGCGCTGGAGGAAGCTCGACGGGTTCGGGACGAACAGGACCGGATACTTGCAGAGTCCGAACGAAGGGATCGGGACAAGATCTTGAAAATCCGGCGGGAAAACGAGGAACGGGCGCGGAGGGAACGAGAGGAAGCGGAACGGCAGGAAAGAGATCAAGCGATCAAGCAGAGGGAAAAGGAGAAATCGGATCGGTTCCATGCTGATATGCGCGAATGGAGACGTTATGCCAAACAACACTTGCTCCGAGCGGAACCGAGTGCCGAGGACGTCAAGGCGAAAAGAGCGATTCGCGTGCAGATACGTTTACCTCAAGGTGTTGGTTCAGCGGCACGCAATATCCGAGCGTTCCCGGTCGATCTGGACACGTCGCGGGATGTCTACATATGGGCGGAGACGCTGTTATCGGATGCACAAGACGGTGATGCAGGAACGACATCGTTGCCTGCCGGGTTCACTGCGGATTATCCACCACGACGGGACGAGCCGTTCCTCACGCTCTTCACTGCGTATCCGAGAAAGCAAGTTTCAGTCGATGCCGAGGGATGGAAGGTGGTGCAGGATGCGGGAGGAAGCTTGGTAATGGAACTTGCTCAGGGGGAGAAGTTTGGTGGGGATGAGGATGACGAGGAATCAGAAGACGAATCGGATTAGGATTTCGTTGTTTTCTTTAGTTCTCCTAGTTGTACTTCATCTATTATGATTCAGTCCAAGAGAAACATAGATACATCCTTATAGGCAACCTGCTAACGTTATATACTTTATACTATACCCGAGTCGCAACTCTCCCTCGTCATCATGAACGGCCAAACAACTTTCTTGATCCTCCCAAAACAAATCCGGGGTGAATTACGTTGAAAATAGCCAGGCAAAGGATCATGGGTAGAAAGTCGAGGACGTTGAAGTAGACTTCATGGGTGATGCTACAAGGTCAAGGGAATCAGTTTACTGCAATTCATGACGTCTATGGTGTGACTTACAGGTAACCACTCCAGCCTAGCATTCGATGCGCAAGTAGTAGAAGTGAGCTTTACGGCCACCAAACATCCAACCCTTTGACTCACCTTGCAACAACTCGATCGTTCGATACACACCCCGCATCACAATCATCAACGCACTAAAGAAAACAATAGCGAGCAATACCATCCATCGCTTCCTCTCATTCGCTTCATCTGCAGTCGTCATGCCTGAATCGCGCAGGGGTGAAGCCAACGTCTTTTCACTCTTTTCCGCATGGATGGTGCGAGCGCGACGGACGTAGGGCCTGTCCGAGGCGAGGCGGAGGATGAAGTCGGCGCCGAGGATGACAAAGACGACGATGGCGGCGAGTTGGAAGACGATACCTGCTACCACTGTTATTGAAATAGGATGTGTTGGATGTGTTAGCTCAGTTATGAGCGGATGAGAGGGGGAGGACGTACTGATGTTCGTGGATGTGGTGGTATCTTCGTAGTTCTGGGACTGAACAGCTGCTCGTCCTCCACCAACGGCCTGGAAAGAACGGTATCAGCACGACAAACATCTATTTACATCGCGCGGTGGGACGAACCTGTATGACGAGACTGATGACGTCGGCGATGACGAACAAGATCATGTACCACTTGCTGTTCAACAAGGAATACTCTTCGCCTAGGTGTTTGATACAGAGACCGAGGAGGGTGTAGTCGAATGCCGAGAAGAAGCATGGCGCGAGGATGAGACTGTGAGTAACAGGAGGTATAGCGTTAGGATGCGACTGCTGGCAGGCGACTTGTAGTGGTACTTGCCAGCAAATTTGCATCAAGAATGGCTGTAAGGACCCAGTTTATCAGAAAGGAGGTCCAAGGCGATGCTAAAGATCCAGCGGGACATACCTGGATATTCAATACATTCTGAGACGACCAGTACCTTCCTGCCCATCCAACAATCTCCAAGAGTCCACCAGGAACAAGCGTCGCAAGGATCCACCAGTAACTCGGCTGCCGGGTATACGTATTCGCTACTACTACACCGGAACCATCATCGTTCGTCGCGGCAAGGGCGCGAGAATGCCTTCGTCGTTGTATACTATAATAGATCGCTTGAACGACGTGGATGGCAGTGGAGACGGAGAAGAGGACGATAGAAGTGATGCATACGCCAGCGGAGGGGGTGTAGCCGTATGGTGATTCACCTAACAGAGGCGGTTGTTAGGCGATATGAGGGGTGAGAGGCAAAGGAAGTAACTTACGGTAGTTGTTGTTTGCACGAGGGAGGAGATGTGCTTCCGCACGAGAGAAAAGAGAAGCGTCCATTCTATGTAGATGAAGGAAGAGATTTCAACAACGTCGGTCACCCACCAGCAAATGCTGTAAGTTATATCGCCACCTTGATATCTTGTATCAGCCCATCACCATCATCCAACCATCAAAACTATTGTGAGACATTGTAAAACGCATTGGCCTCATCGGCAGTCGCGGCAGTCGGCCATTGTTTGCCGCGTGTTACGTAAACGGGGAGAAGCCAAAATGACCGGGATTTCGTAATATCGCTTGCCACGTGGAGTGGAAAACGGTTCCGCAGGCCTCGAGGTTGTTGAGCTAGCTGTTGAGCTGTTCACCACGTAATCGGAGGTTTCTCATAGCTCTTCTCATCCATACATATATCTTGGGCGCTATTCCAATGGGCTGTGCTATCGTAATAATTCGCAAAGATGGCAGGCAACACTACGGGTGATAACAAACAAACGCAGTCGAGCTATAAGGACCACTTTAGGCCCCCGGAGTGTA